TCCATTTTGGTATCAGAAAAACAACATAATTAATACTACAATTTTTAAGGCTCAAAATAACTTATTAAATAAAATAAACTTTGAATTTCATGTTATTATTATTTTGTTGACAATAAAAACAAAGTTTACTCTACGAAAGAGGAACTGTAAAACCCTTAGCTAGATGTTTTTCCTGTAAATCAAACATTTGCAAGATAAAATCCACAGATATATTTATCTTTACGAAATCACAAAACCACAAATATACACCTACTACTTTATAATACTGTATTCTTGAAGCTCATGCTATTAAAATTAAATAATTATCGAATCAACTGACATTTTTTATTCCTCGGATCTAATTTAATGATTTAGAAAAAACAGCTTTATGGAGTTGGGACTGTAGTAGCCTTAGCTAGATATTCCCCCGTATAAATTTCTCTACGAACACGTACACACTCACATCGCAACGTCCATATGTTAAGTGACTGACGGATTTGGATTTGGCGCTGGGTAACGCCTCCAACTTCCGTTTGCTGTTTTGGTTTTGGTTTGGCTTTGCTTTTTGGTTTTAAGTGCAGGCAGGCAGTCGCGAAAGGGAAAAGCGAAATAAATGTATTCCCCGGTAGATGGAGATGCAGATGATCGCTGATGTTGATGGTGATGGTGATGGTGGTGGTGATGGTGATGGTGATGGTGAACCTCCATTCGGCGGTGGTTTGGATGATGGTGATGTCAGTGGGAGCGAGTCGAGAATCGCGAATCGCGGATGAGGATGTGCGAGAGTGGGGCGTGTTTGGCTTAGATTGTGCCTTCGATAAAGTGAAACTCTTTGATGTACGAGCACGGGGGCTGATCGAGGCGCATCTGATGGTACCGGAGGATAAACAACGACCGCAAAGGTATTAAAGAGCAGCCAATATACCCAGATACTCAGATCGCTGCTTAATTAGCCACGACGACCCTCAAGGCTAACGTAAAGGTGGGCATGATCATGAACAATTGGATTGGCAATCGGGGGAAAAGCGGTACACATTTTAATTGAATTCAATGGGGAAGTTTTTTGTAATAAAAAAGAGGAAGCGATCCTGAGATCATCATTATTTCCCTTAACATTATTAATCAGGCAATGGTTTACCTTAAAGTGGGGAACATTTTATAACAAAAAAAAAATGTGTATATATTTTAGATATACCATTTTAATTGAATTCAAAAGGAAATTAATTTTATAAAAAAAAGGAAAACGATCCTCAGACCAACATTTCCCTAAACACTATGTTTTTTGTTTTTGATTTTTACCTTAAAGTGGTGGAAATTTTAACAACATTTAAAGTGTTTACTTATGAAATTTGTTTAAAATAAAAATATACCAATGAGATTAACTATGGAGAAAAGCTAAAATTAAATCAAATTCGATGAGTAAGTTATTTTTGTTTAAGGGAAACGATTTTTTAATGATTATTACTTGCCTACTTACTTTATGGCATTATTAATTTTGTAAATCTTGAATAAAGAAGAATAATAAATCTTGTCTCTAGAGTTTATGGGTTTTTGTTTAACTTATTAAAGATTTTACAACTTTTCAGTGAAATAATGTTACTTCTTAGAATTTTTGATACATCAATCTTATTCTTAAATAAACTTCCCTTAGAATAAGGTTACTTCTTGTTACTTCCCCAGCCTAACCCCAAATCCAATGAACCCTCTGACCGACCATTGATCCCTCACCCTTAATTTAACCCCATTGAACCGTCTGCGGGCATATCGCGTTACCACATTTTGACACTTGCAGTCCCAATTCTCAGGGGTTAAGGGTTGAACTGGTCACCTGGTCAACTGGTCACCTGTTTAACCCCCGTGGCCAAAATGTAATGACAAACCCCAAAACGGGAAGTGGAAGTGGTTTGGATACGTTACGGATGTTTTGGCCAGCTCGAAACAATTACGCGGTCCGTAAAGACAAAGGCCAGCAAAGCAAGTGATCGGAGTGGCCTGCTATTACAGATTTAATTATATAATTAATAAATGTAATCAACGGCCAATGGCAAAGACAAGGGCCAAAGACTGAGACTGAGACTGAGACCAAGACCATCTGGTGGAAAGACTGGCACGCATGCGCAGCAGAATCGAAAGGAAGTTGTCGCCGGGAGAAAAGACACTGGTAAAACAACGGTAGTAAGTTCAACCATACAATAAAAATAAAAGAAAATTTCGGTTATTTTAAAAATGGAAATATAACACATGGAGATTAACATAAAGAATAGCATAATTTATCTGACATTCAAAGATAAGTTAATTCCACCGCATATGCAAGATATAATGATGCTTCTTTTTTTATGTTTCTATAACCATAATTATTTGCCAGAGCGTAAATAAAATATAATAATTTATTTGCAACTTCAATTTAATAAAAAAAAATTTATTTTTTTGCACCATTTTTGTTATTTTTACTTTACCTCGATACTTAAAAAATACCTTTCCCTTTTTTATTTATCTACTTATTCATATTTATCAAACATTATAATATGCTTCGTATTTAACAATTTTAATAATGAAAAATTCAGATTTTTATTTATACTATTCCATTTTTTTTATCAGTGAAGATGGTTTTGAAGAACTGGATGAATCCCCAACCCTTTCGAAGAAGAGCTCCCCCAGCTGCAAGTCAACGGAAATCGCAAAGGCAAAAAAGCAACTTGGGCAAAAAGAGGCAAAACGAGGCAAAAGCGACAAAACAGCCACGACGACGATGGCCCAGCATTCTTGGGCAGAAATGAAGTGCAGATCTAAAGTAGAATTGGATCAGGATGGGGGGTTGGGTATGGGGATTGTGAATGGGAATGGGAATGGGTATATGGGTCTGGGGCAGGGGTTAGCATACGATCACATGTGTCTGTCCGCGGAGTGTAAGCACAGATTGTGGGGACTTGGTGGATGAACTACCCTAGGATTAAATAGAAAATTTCTGCTTAACTCAGGGTTAATTCAACTCCTAGGCCTTTAAAAAATTAAGAGAAAAAATATACTCATACAGATTTTCTTAAAAAATGAAAAAGAATCATTAAATAATCAGGTCACTTAACTCAGAATATAAATCCCCTTTATAAAAAAAACCAAAACAAATAGCAAAAATGGAAACAGTATTATAGATTTCTAACATTTAACAAATGATAAGAAAAAAGGATATTTTTACAGATTTACTGTATATATAAATGGTCAATAATTCATTCAGAATATCAATCCCTTTAAAACCATCTAAATAAATAACAATTTAAAAATCACACTATATATTTTCCTAAAATTCTCTTTATCTAAAATTTTTTTTTTAACTATACAGAGATCTTTCTGAACAAATTGTAGTGTATTTCCTGGACAAAAATTAATATTTAAAGAGGTGCAAAGTTTGAGCAAGTAATAAATGTTCTTTAAAAACAAATATATTTCTTTGATAATTGGATGAAAAATTGTAGTAAATATTAATTCTGTAAGCAGAATTAAAACACATTTTTAATGAATTTTAAATGAATAAGTCGAAACTATGCAAAATTTGTATTTATATCTTTTAGTTCTTTATAAACTATATAGTTATCTATCTTATCAAATCGAAGGGTATTTCTTGGACAAAAATCAGTATTATAGCTGGACAAAAAGTGAGAAGGAAGACCCCATTTGGTAGTGGGGGGGGGAGAGGGAGAAGGAAGACGTTAAAAAGAATGACGATGAATGACGGGAAGCGCACAGCTTAGCAGCGCTTCTCTTGGATAATTGAGGAAGTTATAATTGCCAATGACTCCTGGTTGAAAGTCAAGAGCGGTACGGGAAGCAGAACATAAACCCTTTTGCCATTTGCCACAAGATCGAAGAAGCGACAAAAAGCGACTGAGTTGAGGTGGAAAGGAAACAGTTGTTGTCTTTGGCAAACGGGAAACAGGACATGTCGGCGCATAAATTGAAATGAGTGTCGTCGTCGTTTCTTCTTTTTTATCCCCATCAACGGAAGGACAATAATTGAAGGCTGGTTGTTATTACGTTGGAATTCAGAAAACGTTTTGCGACGCAATTCGTTCGGCCGATGAGCTAATAACTATTTGTGCATCACGCACATCACACATCCAGAGAGAATAATATAATAATGAATATAAAGCCGCACCACCTGTGTCAACAATGAAAAGCTGCCCAGCCAAAGGTAGCAAATCAAACAAACAACTCATCGTCGGGCCTCCTCCTTCTTATTGTGTACCTAAGAATACTTGACACGATTTCCAAGACAACACACCATATATCCATAATATCCAGAGACAAGGACTTCCATTGTGCGCATAGAAGAACCCAGGTCCCCAGCAATCGCGATCTGCAGCACTCCTAAATAAATGTGTGCCTATTGAACGGAACCTTTTGTGGATGGAAACGCGCAGAATAGTCAAATATTTGCCAGCGAATTGCAGCCACACAGGAAGAACATTGAACAATTTAATAGATTTTTATCCCATTAAATATGTTTCTCATAAATAAGTGATTTAAACAACAATGGGTTACAGAATACCACAAAGATATTGTAAACAATATTTGTTAAAAAATATTTCAATAAACAAAAAAAATAAAAAAAACAGTATAACTAACTTTAAGACATAAAAAATAATTAAATAAATCTAGAAATTTATTTTATCATATTAAAACTATTAATTTAATTAAATTAAGACAATATGTTTTCATGTGAATATTTCATCCTTATATATATTAATCTTATTCGATGACTATCACCATAAAAATTATTTTTTAAACCATTTTATAATTAAACACTTGCTAAAGTACTGATATCTCCATTTAATCTCCATTTTAAAAATATATAGAGTATATTGCCCACCAACAATACTAATGATACAATTTTCAAATCTCGTAGGACTTGCAAACAAGTTGTGAAGAACGTAAAATATTTGACATGATTATTTTAAAGTATGTATTCTATTTTTTTGAACAAAGCTGTTTTTATGGTACTTATAAATATTTCTCAGTGCACTTACCTCCTTGCTGGGCACACAAATTGGAGTGCCCACTTTGACAATGCCGTTCTCCACCATCACGCCCATCACGATCGGATCTCGGCTGTTGAATATGAACTGTGGCAGTATCTGTGGGATGGAATCACAAAAAGATAGACACAGAGTACGGAGAATTAGATCAATGACTGTTAGATAGACGATGATTTTGTGGGGTATAACTAATAAGCGGCTCAATCGGGAATCGGGAACGATCGATAACGATGGGCCGGCTCTTAACTACTTTTTAAATAATGCCCGATAATTATGGTGGCTTAGGCGATGCCAGCAACGGATTTTGTAAGATAGCATAACAACTTTATGTCAGTTGAAGTACTCTAATAAATGGGGTATTACGTTTTATGGGTCTAATCTTGAAAATTGAAATGCAAAATGGATAAATTTAAATTTTAGACGACCAATTCATACATGAAATGAAAGTACATGTTTTTTATTAATTACTTCATATTTTAACTTGTTTCTTATATGAAAGAAATAATTTTAAATATTAAAATGGATTTTTAGTCCTTATTTTGACTTTACAAGTTGGAAGCCATTTTCTATTATTAAATTAAAAATTTCTTAAAACATCTTTCATTTTACGTTAACTTTACTTATCTGAAAAATTCATTTTCAAGCTTAAAAAATATTAATTTTGAAAGTGAAAACATTATTCAAACTTAATTTCAATAAAGTTCCTGTTTTTTAAAATGAAACTCGATTTTCTAGTGCATTTTCGTATCGTTGTGGCCCATTAATAGAGTGCACAAGCAACCTCCGACTAAAAACAACTTTGACTACGCCAAGAACAACTTAATTTCCGTTGCGTCAACTGTTGAAGAAGGCCTCAAATGGGTTGCCGCCTGCAGCAGCAGTTGAACAGTTGAAGAAGCGGCACAATCAGAATCAGCCGGCATGGAAAATGGATCGTACGTTGTCGGGAAAAACGAAAAGTGGCCGAGAGAACACGTTTCTCCAGCTTCAAGCTTCAGACTCAGCTCCACTTGCACATGACCACATTTCCCCAGCTCCACAGCTAAAACTCCTTAAGACAGAAGGCGAGTTAATAACTCAAACTAAACAACGTCATTGTTATTACAAGACCTGCGACTTAAACTCCAGAGAATCTTTGTTTTTTTCAGATGGCAGTATGCACTAAAAAAAAAAATTCTTGAGCCGTAGGCGTTATTAAATTTATTATTTAATTATTATTTATTTTATTAAATTTTAAAATATACGGAAATTTACTAATCAGAAAATAAACTTCAATGTTCATTAGACTACTTGGCATTGTAGTAAAATAAGCACAATTAAAACGCGTAGATAAAAATTTTAATAGAAATTTATGTTTGCCCATGCTAAAACTGTAGGAATACAGTAGTTTTTTATAAAAAATATAAAAAAAATTTACGTTTATATTAGATTAAATTTTAGATTCTAGAAAAGTTTAACAGTTGTGATAAAAACACCGACTTTTTAAAATCAACAAACAAATAATTTGTAAACTTTTTGGAACAAATTTTAGTTTGATTCTTAATAATAACAATAGGAATGACGTTTTGTCCATTGTAACCCTTAAAAATATTTTGCTCTAAAATGATTTAATTATATGCTTTTAAAAAGGATACTAGAAAGGTAACAAAATTTCGTACAATATTTCAATACTCAAAACGTAATAGTTCAAGTGTAAAAGATCGAACGAATGCTACTAACAGCTGTGCGCTGTGTGTCCAATTACCAGCACAGTGGGAGCCCAGTGGCTAGAAGTGGTCTAGAGTGGACCACAGTGGACCAGAGTGGACCAAAGTGGCCCCGAGTGGAGAGTGCAGAGTCGAGTGGAGTGGAGTGTGGCGTGTTGGGTCCCAACATTGCATACGACCAAAATCTAATGATTGCCTATAAATCAAATACGCTGTTTAAACATTATTTGAGCAGGAAGTGTGGACGTGATGCAGGCGTCTGCTGGGATCTAAGGCTTTAATCGCTTGTTGAGTGGATGTCTTGGCCTGGCTTATACAGTTTACATCGTAGTATATCGTAGTAGCCCCCAAGCCCGGACTTTAGGCCCGCTCCATTCTTGTTGGTCAGCATCATTAAGCCAACGTCAAGACGAGACAAGCCCCAGCTGGAGATCCATTCTGGCTTGAAGTTGCAGGCAAAGTCTCGGTCTCAGTCTCGTTCTCATTCTCATTCTTATTTTCCGTTCGCGGCAGATTGCATTTTACACCTGTAGCTTTCGGGGGTAATTGCAGGGAGGAAATGGAACACGAACATGGGCACATTAAAATAATGCCCATAATGACACCGAATCTTTTTAGTTTCCGTCCTTAATTCGTAACAACTGATACCTACACCTAGGAAATTACTGCAACTTTCGAAAAAAAAAAACAAAAACTATTCAATTGGCAATTAGCTTTTTGAAAAAAATAATTCTTTTAGTTATCCAGACTCGTCTAATAGTCTTTAATAGAAATTTCTTAAATAAAAACTGGGTCTAAGCCAACATAAAAATTATCCTTAAGAAAGCAATAATTCTTTAGTCTACTTTATCGCATTAAGAAACAACATTTTTAAAAACTTAATTAAGTTAAGTTAAAGCTTTTATATATCTAATATAAAAGATACTACTAAGTTATAAAATAAACTTTATAGTGCACTCTTAGCAAAGCACATAAGCCAGCAAAAAAATATCGTAGTAAAGCGAAAGTTCCTCGGATAAAACCCGACCTCTTTTAGGTATTTAATTAATTTTGGAGTGTACTTTCAATTTAACATATATTTTAGTAAGCAACCAATATAAAACTTTAATTAAAGCTCAAACGATATTAGATACTATTTAGTTCTCAAATAAATTCTAGAGTGTATTTTAACTTTAAAGACAACATAATGTAGATGCTATTATTAATTTGTTTCCTAAGTTTCCAGTCTAATTACCGGCTTATTTATTTTTAATAATTTTTTAATAACTTATGAATGTACTTACTCTTAGTTTGCAGGGAAAGACGGCTACGGAGCGGAACTCTTCGCGCTTCTTGGCCTTGAGTTCCTCGCGATAGGCGGTGAACTTATCGAACAGGTGATAGATAATGTCCGCTTGGAATATTTTGACGCCCAGGGAATCGGCCATTTCCTGCGCCTCCCTCTCAATCTTAACGTCGAATGCCAGAATTGTTGCATACCTATGGGTAGAAGATTAATACAAAAAATACAAATAAAGATCAGTGATTTAAAACAATTAAAAGTATATGCAATCAGAGGGAGGGGGGGCGATCATCCAACGAGCATAATAATAATAACAATAAGCATAATGACACTGCCTCGCCGCGTTCTTGGTCTTCCTGTCTGCAGAAGAGTTGAGTTGGCCTAATGATCGGGCCACATGGCGATCCGTGAGGCACCAGGAAGCGTTAATAATTGAAATCACAAACAACCAGCAACGCAACGCAACGCAACGCAAGATGTTGTTTGTTTAGCTTGGTTAACTTTTGCCGTGTGGGGCTTTTTTTCTCAATGACAGGAAATGGTTGGCATTTCGAGAATCGAAACTCTGCGTCGACAGGAAAAGGGTACCAATCCAAAGTGGAGTCAGCTAATGAGGGGCACCACTTTTTGGGATCTCTCCCATAAATACTCGTATATAAGAATGAAAATGGGTTGGGTATTAAAATTTATTCGGGTAGAGGCGAAAACAGTTTAGGATAGAACCCACGACTAATCGATCTATGAATTATGGGGCCATTTGTGGAGAGAGGGGAACTAATATGGAGAAGATTAATAAAAGGAGAACTGAGAACACTATTAAATTGTGATATATGGGTTGTCTTTTAGGTATGCAGAAAGGTCTCGGGTGCAAGGGAACACCTCAATTTGTTAAACACCTTTCAATTAAAAAATCGATTATCAAAAATAGTCTGAAACATGGTTTATAAAATGAGGTTTTCATTTTGTTAACAAATTTATTAGTCATCGAATTCATAGATACCTATATTTCCCAAATAATTAAAGTAAGAGAAAGATAACTGAAAATACTATAAAATGGTGATACAAGGATAAAGGGAGCAACTTAATTTCTAAAATGCAAATTAAAAAAATTGATTAGATATTTTATAAAATATGGTTTATAAAATTGTACAATCTGAAGCGGTTTTCGTTTAGTTAAAATCCATTTACTTTCGTGTAGTTTAGATATTAATGAGTAATATAATTTATAAATATCTTTTACGAGGATCGATTGGGTACCTCTCAAGTGGTAATAAATAGCCCACCTTTGTTGGATCAGACCACTTTCGAGTGGACGATGCATAAAAGATCACATAAAAGCAGTTAAACATTTTATGGGACTCGTAAATGCGACAGAAGGGAGATACGTATGCACATATAAAGTAGAACCCATTGAAGGCACTCATTTTGTTTCCCCCGTGGGACAGACGATTTTTATGGTCACTGGCTGGCAGCGTAAAATGCGAAATTTTATGGTTCGAAAATTCCACACGCGTAAAAATCATAAATAAATGAAGAGCAGCCCAGCCACACATAGTAAAAGATAGTGGGGCTTGCATAAATATTTCAGATGGGCGGATATGTGCCTAAAAGTGGACATAACTTAAGGGAAAAGTCACGCATGCGCAAAAAGGGCCGGAAACGGAAATTCTCTTAAATTTCTTAGGCGCAGATACAAGCATACGCAGATACAATTGCACCTACATTTCTATTCGCGCTTGTAACAGCGTAATTTGAGTGGGCCGTTAATGTATCTGTATCTGTATCTGCATCTGCAGCTTTTCTTGTTGCCAAGCAGAGCACAAAAATAGTTTTGCAATTGGAGACCGGCAAAGTAAAAGAGACAGGACTGGGACTGGCGGTAGAAAAAAAAAATAAAGATATAGATACTCGGACTGGACTATTTGGCACCACTTAATGCCCGCTAATGAGACAAAGCTGCCGGCCCAAAGGTTTCGCTCTCTACAATAAATCATGGGCATCCCGCTTAGCTTTATCCCCCCGGTAAAGTGCATTTTGTGATTGCCGCTGCCGCTAAATGAATCACTTAACCCGACCATCGGCATCAGCTCCTTCCTCTTGGTCGGCTAATATCACACACAATCTTCAAAGATCCGACCATATTGCGTTGTTTATCGAGTGGCGGGTGGAATACGGGGCGTTCCGTGACGGGGAATTGTGTTAATGAAGTTAAGCGGCAATAAAATTGCATTGTCCGTTGTCATATATCAAAAAGTCGTTTATTCTCGCTGTCTCGCGGACCTCTTGCTGCTTTAAGTGTTCGAATATAAAGCGGCAATGGCCTACAATGTAGACAAAAATGGATGGGGATACTGCGGGTACTACTAGTGTGTGTCGAAGTGTATGTGTGCCATTGCAAATGGACAGGAGAAGATGTTACATGTAAGTTGGACACGTTCTTGAGAGGAAGTACTAAAGATATACACCGAAAAGGTATAAACAAAATATAAGGGTTCATTGAATGGAAACCGAATTTGTTGGAAGTGTACAGCAAAAAATCCTTTTACTTGGTTTTTCATAATTTTAGAAAGAAATAGTAAAAGTGTAGAAAAAAGCCTTACTAATTCTGTAGGGGACTATGTTTTCATTTAAATTTAAATTTTAAAGTTCCCGAAAATCCATTTTTTTCAAGTAATTAATAATAAGCTGAAGAACTTTGACTTTTTATTTCCGTTTGATAACTCGAAGAAATTAATCAATGTTCGGTATTACCCCGATTCATATTAATGTTGATTCATAATAATTAGAGTAAAAAAATAATGTTTTCCTTTGTTCAAATTAAATTACTGATAATGAGTTCAAGAACTTTAAACTTTTCATTTCCGTTTCTTAACACAAAGAAATAAATGAAAGTCCGATTCATAATAATGTTATTTCCCCTACTTTGGTGTAATCTTTTAACCAGGAAGTTCGAATAATTCTGCTGAATAATTTTTAAAAGAATTTACCACTCATCACTTTCGTTTGCCATTCATAGAAAAGAACCAGTGGATCAATTTCCCAGCTGTCGACACAATTTCTGTTTTGCGAAATACCCCAATGGAGGAGTTCAATAAACCCCCCTCGAAAGTGAAATTGATAGTGGAAGTTCCACTACTCCGAAGTCTTTTTTTTGGAGGGGGAACTCGGCTGTACAAATTTCCGCATTCAGCAAATTCCCAAGAACTCTGATATTGTATAATTTCATATGACACATCCGCAAACAAAAAAAAAGAGGGGGAAAGTGAACATAGAAACGATAAGTTTGGGTTTACTTACTGCGCCTCGTGTTCCAACATTGTGGAGGCCTTCATCACATCGCGTTTCACTACGGGACCAATCCGAATGGCAGAGTACTGGAAAAAGTAAACAAAAAGGGTTTGGATATGTTATAAGTGCTGGTTTAGAGTAAAATTTAATAAATAGCTTGTTTTCAATTTTAGTAAAACAAATTAAACACTTGTCATTCTCTAGAAAATTATTTGTTTTATAAAACAAAATTCCAAATTTAAGGTTGGTTTAAGTTGTGGTTTATATTCATTAAAGTTAAATTTTAATTTTTAATTTTTAATTTTTTTTTTTTCCTTTAATGAGTTCAATAACTTTTATAACCATCGAAAACGATTCTATAACTAAACTTTTACATATTCTTTACAATTCTTTTCTTATTTTTAATTTTACAAAATATTTAGTTGCGCTTGTTCGTTCGTTTAATGATTTCAAAAAATTGTATTACTATCAAAAACGAAAAGAAATAATGGTACTTAGTAAGAAACATTTATTTTCAACATTATTTTAAATCTTCGGATGGTATAACTCAACATTTAATCCTCATATCTTTCTTTTTTCAGCAAATGTACATTGTGTTAGTTACTTATAAAAAACTTTATTCATCAAAAGGCAGACATGTAAACATACTTTTGAGATACTATGTTGTCAACCATGTGTGGCTGCAAAGAGTTTTCTTTTTTTATCTGTTCTTCCCTCTCTTTTTGTTGGCCCAAAAGCATTTGACCCAAAGAAAACTTTGGCTATTTTTAGTCACATGGCCATATAAAAAATAAACAAAATAGAAAAAATCGAAAAATCGAAAAGAGGAACACAGAATCTAAACTAAACAAGCAGTCCACTAAAGTGAAACATTTTTAAAATGGCCAGGAGACAGTAGAAAGAGATGGGAAACCATGACGATGGGTTCATTCACATCGAAGATGTTCAATTTTTATTTTATTTGTTTTTTTTTTTTGTTCGTCGCCAGATGATTACAAATGATCATTGATAAAAATAACAGCAGTCTGACATGAATGAATGGATGGATGGTCGGCTGGTTTGGATGGTTTTGAATGGTCTGAACAGTCTGTATAGTCTGTATAGTCTGTATAGTCTGTATGGGATGGATGGTTTTGGGAGGGGTCTCCAATGAGTGGGGCAAATGGAATTTGCTGTCGATAGCGACTTAATTGCGCCACCGGATACGTTGATAAGACCAAAATAATGAGTGGCTCCCGCTTGAACCCATTAACAACTGCAAACACACAGTGCAACTCGTTTTACTCTCTCTTTTACAGCTGGCTGATAAATTGAAATGTCAGCTTATCGGCTAGATTAATCGGATTAATTTAAATGTCAGTTTATCGCCTGGCATAAGTTAAACATTATTATAAGGCTGAAACTGAATGGTTTAATAAGCATTTGCCTAAAATGAACTACTGGTTGCAAGATACAATATTATTTAGAAAAATAAAATATGCATTTTCGATTTTTAAAAATATTTGTTTATTTAAAATTGTCAGTTTGCGGCTGTCATAAAATAAACATTATTTTAAGACATTTATTTTTCATAATTACAGATCGATGCATTTTTAATTGGATATTTTTAATAAAAAAAAATAAATATGTATTCTTAAGCAGTTTGTTATAACACCCTTAGCCTGCTAACAATACTCTTATTTCTTTCTTTTTTCTTTCAAAGCCTTAAAAATTTTTAAAAAAAATATAGCGAGACTCCATTGATTCTCCGCTGACGTCATATAAAATTGCTGGCTTTCTGCTGAAGTGTTTCGATTGTAAATTGAATTCAATTACAGCTTAACCCATTCATGAGCATTTCATTCATTACTGCGAAACGCCACAGCTGCTGACGCTGTTATAAAAGAAATTGTGTGTAACTAACGGAAAGCAAATAGGAAAAAATAGGAAACAAAAAATGCGAGAGAAAGAGTTTTGCAATCAGCAAAACAATGAATGAAATCGGAAGTTTATTGTTGTATGCAATTGTGGCATACAGTAGCAGTAGCAACAAAAGCGAGCAAGAAAACTCATAGTAATTGAGGAGGCGATAATGGGAGAGCAGTCGTCGATTGCATGTAAAAAGCGGAAAACGGGTGCAAACGGAAGTGATAGCCAAATGGCCCCATTTCTGCACTCAAATATTTATTTTTACAATTATCACACTTTTTAAAAAACAAAAAAATACATATTTATACCAATTTTGTATTAAGCTCACTGTTGTTTTTAATTGGAATTAATATTCTAAATAATATAAAATTTCAAAAGTTCTATTGGTCAAAGGTCAACTAAAAACTGCTATATCAATTTTAAAACTATTAAAATATAAAACTCTTCAAGAAATTTCAAATAATTTTAAAGAAAAAATGTAGCATAGCTTTAAAAGAATAATACAACATTTCGGAATAATTTGCAAAGTATGAAACAATTGAATTCATCAAATACGATATTTCCTATTAAAAAAATGTTTTTTTGAAAAAAATAATTCCCTTTAAATAGACACAATTTATTTCCCGAAAATAGACAAACATAATAAAACTATACAACTTTTAATTTAAATTAAAAACGCTCTACTAAATAAAAAAAACTTGGTAAAATTAAGTCGAATTTCAAAGGTATAAAATTACAAGAAAGATCGGAATAATAAAGTACAATATGACAAAATTGGGAAATAATTAAATGATTTATACTTAAAAATATGTTAAATTAAGACATTTTTACAATTTTAATACAATTCTAAAACTAATTTTAAAAGAATAATAATATTTCTTTTTAAATTTCAGAAAGATTTGAATAATAAAATAAAATTAAATAATAAATAATTCCCCTTATTTAACATCTTTAAAAAAAAATTAAATTTTACTTGATTTAATTTTCAGTGGGTTGCTAGGGGAGATAAAAAAGGTGTGGGTGTGTGGGCTTTCCACGTGGCAGCCGGCGTTCGATTTTCAGCTGAATATCGTTTCGCACGAACAATCAGTACGTGCGACTGTGACTGACGCAGCAGCATCCACAAATCCACATTTCCACAATTTCCCCAATCGGCATCAGCAAAACGGGCAGAAAAGCCAGAAATCGGAGATGAGAAAAATGGGTTCGCCTGTGCTTTTGCGCATGGATTTGTGGGCGGGAAGTGCGTAAGTGGCAAATGACAACGCAAACGAACGTTGAGCTAATTAGGAAAGCTTGGAAGCCAAAGGTGGAAGGCAACGCCCACCGCCCACCACCCACCTGCCGGCTCCTTTTTTGCTGACGTCAAGTGGCAACGCCACTCAATGTTATCGATGACACGGGCGAAAACCAAAGACAGGTGAGTACACTTAACAAAAAGTTTTAAAATAAGAAAGTGTAAATGCATTTTAATGATAATATCTTACAAATTATTTAGTAGACCAATAAAAATACCAAATTTAAACATGAATAAAATTAAAATAATAATACATTTCTTTGACCAAAAAAGGCTTGGAAAGAAAATTGAACCCACTTTCAAGAATAATCTTTTAACATAATCCAAAAAGTGTAAAAGTTAAGTTAGTGGGACTTTTTAAAATATCCTTTATGAAGATTAAAACGTTTTTGCATTTGTTTGAACCCACTTACAAATACTTTGATAGAATATTAATAAAACATATTCAAAACAGTGTTAGAAATATAAATAGTGGATTTCTTAAAATATTCTTGATAAAGATTAGGGCATTTTCTTTTTCGTTTAAATATATATGATATAAGAGTCTACTTCCAAATCAGTAATTTAACTTTTTCTTTAGCAAAACTTATTTTTTTAAGTGCACAAAACGATTGTTTATAGTTTTTTTGGTAAACGCCGTCAATGATGCCAATTTTGATGAAAATCAACTAAATTAATGGCATATGTCGACGCGACTGACTGACAGACAGCCTAAACAGCTGATTAATGTCGAGGGGTAGCCTTCGTTACGGAATTGGAAAATTGGAGCTCATTTCGAGAAAATGCCGCACGTTCCTTGTGAACTTCCGTTTTGCTTTTGGGTTTCTTAAATGCAAACACATATCTATTATTTTGAACTTCCTTAGCTTCCAAAAAAGAACGCGGTCGCGACGTGTTTATGAATGAAAATTAAGCAATAAGCTCTGGAAAGTATCTGAGAGATACTCTGTGCATTTGTGTGCGAGTGATAGTGTAGCTGTGTGTGTGTGGGGCAGGAAGAATTGCTTCCGTTGTTGTTTTTGTTTTCGCCTTTCCATTTATACATTCACTCATTTACTCATTCACTTGGGTTCACTCATTCATTCATTGTTTTTTTCCGTTTCTTCCTTCCTTCTGTTTTTATACTCTTAAAGAGGGTATTATAGTTTAAGTGAAAGGTTATGTTTTACTTAACAAATCATATATATTCGCTATATTCGATACGCAAGCTATTCTCTCCATTTTAAAGCTCTAAACATTACTATTTTAATTTATAACTTTATTAATCAATATATATATATAACTTTTAATAGGATTTAAGCTACCTGTTTTAAATTTTTTTTTAAATCTTATGTCTATATGCTGCATTTGCTACAGGAAAGATCTGCACAAGCTTAAATAACAAACTTTTAATTTTATTATATTTAAAGAAAAGCTATATATTAGATATAATCATTTTAAGTCATCAAAAAAGAAAATTTATAATACCTTTTTGGATGTTATAAAAGAGAAAAAAGGATTGTTTATTAATAAAATTATTGATTAATTTTTCTTATCCCTTTTGTTTGTTTACCTTTGCATTTAAAATTATTTACTGTATTTGTAAGTATTTTTAAATATATATTATCTAATTCATTTTGCAGGGTATAGAAACTTCAGATTGCTTCCTTCCCCGACTTATTTTTATTTTTTTCTTTTCTTGCCTGGGGGCAATTTGTTTTTGTTGTTTTTGGCAACTGCGTCGCATTAATGAAAACATTGGCATTGTCTGCTTCTTACCTCACTTCCTTCCTGCCAAACCGCCGTAATGCCCATCTAGTACTACGAAACACGCTAAACATGAGAAAAAAACAAGAACCACGACCGCAGCGAAATTAAATTCATTCATGAAATTCAACGAAG